GCAACAATGAATGAATGAATGAATGGAAATCCAAAGTCTCTGTAAATTTTTTTTAATTTTTTAAAATGTTTATTATTTTTGTGTGAGTGTACCATCAAATCAGATCTGACTGGTACAGGAGGAGATTGTCCCTCCTTCCCCGGCAGAGCATCTGGTGGATTCGAACCGTGCGCCTCTGGGATTGTAGTTGCAGCTCCTTGCCACTAGGCCACCATGTCTCTGTAAATTTTCATTTATATTAATAATAAGTCTTCTTAAAAAGTTCTGAGTTTCTGTCTGAGATGATGAAAAACTTTCCGAAATAATAGTGATGGTTGGTTGTACAACATAAATGTAATCAATGCCACTAAATTACATACTTAAATATGGCTAGAATAGTATGATATTTTACCATGATAAATTTTTCATAAAAACCAGTTGTTAAAAAAAAACACCCACCAGTTGTTGTTGTTACATGCCATCGAGATGAGTATGACTCATAGCAACCCCATGAAAAAAAGATCTGATCCCTGTTCTGTCCTGACCATCCTCACACTTCCTGACATACTAGAGCCCATTGCAGCAGTCACCATGTCAATCCACTTGGTTAAGAATCTGCCTCTCCTTTGCTGACCCTCCACCCTTGTTGTTGTATGTGCAACTGAGCAACTTGTGACTCATAGTGACTCTGTATACAACAGCCCTATACCCTGCTCTATCCTGTGCCAGTCTTACTGTCTCTGACAGAACTACCCCTATTATCCCAGCACAGAATCAATCCATCTCATCAAGTGTCTTCCTCTCTTGCGCAATCCCTCCATCCTCCCATGTATGATGTCCCTCTCCAGTGACCGGTCCCTCTTTGTAACATGCCCAAAGTATGTCAGACAAAGCTTCAGAATCCTTGCTTCCAAGGAGCAGCCTGGTTTCACCCTCTCTAGGATGAAACTTTTTGTTCTCCTAGCTGTCCATCTGAAGCTGAGGAAAATTAAATCAAATCCAAGACAACCAAAATATGACTTTGAGTCTATCCCACCTGAATTTCAGAACCATCTCAGGAACAGGTTTGAGGCTTTGAACACTAATGAGCGAAGGCCAGATGAATTGTGGGAGGTATCAAGGGTATCATCCAGGAAGAGTGCAAACGGTCATTACAAAGAAGAGGAAGAAAAGACCAAAATGAATGTCAGAAGATACTCTGAAAATTGCACTGGAGCGCAGAGAAGCCAAAGCACAAGGAAGAATTCAAGATACTAAAGA